GGACGCTCAGGCCCCGCCGGCGCCGTGTCGGCCCACGCAGAGCGGTCAGGGCCCTCCGGGAACGAGGCCACAGGCCTGGGACACTGTCTCCCTGGGGAATTACAGGGTCTCGTTTCCCCCTCTCCTGCTCTGGCCTGGATGGTCATGTGCGTGTTCGCATGCACGAGTAAGCACGAGTGTGGCTGTGTGTGCACGGGCTTGGCCAGTGCACCGGGAGAGGCTCCCGCATATGCGGCTGGAACGCCACCGCCACCGCCCCCTCTGAAGCAAATCGCTGTCTGCGGAGCTGGCTGCACGAGTCAGGCTGGCCGCAAGCTACGTGACGGGCTTCCTGGAGCCCCAGGCCCCAGCTGCCCATGGCCTGGCCCCCGACCCCCGTGGGGTGGCCCAGAGCTCTGGCTGAGGGGCCCCATCAGGGCCCAGGAACACCTGCAGTCACATTGGGGTCTTCCACGGGGCGCCTGGGCCCGAAGTGCACCCACCCCCTCAAATCTGAGTCTACATGAGAAAACCGGCTGCACAGAGCGACACCTTCGCTTCCTTACGGAAGTGCAAGCAGCGGGACCAGGTGAGACACGCAGACGGAGGAGAGGTGCACGTCTGTGCACAGGAGTGCAATGCGGGCCGACGCGCTGCATGCTCAGACTCCTCCTGTCTGCCTGCACGACTGAGGAGTGCATTCGTTCATTCACCCGCCCACCCATCATGCTCGCATCACACAGACTTCCGATGAACCCGTACGACGCCAGGGGCCATGCGAGCTGCTGGGGACACAGCCAGGCACACCGAGACACGGGCCCAGCCTCACAGTGTGCGTCCATCAGGACAGACACACAGGGAGCACACGCGTGTGGGAGAGGCTGAGACGGGGTCATGGGTTGGGCATGGCGAGGCAGGTGACAAGGACTTTCAAAGAAGCACTTCCCGGAAGTGAGAACCAGCTTTGTGCTCTCCACATGCCCACCCCAGTGTAAGACATGGTGCCCTTAAGGAGGCCCCGCCCACAGAGGAAAGACCCTGACTGCCCCCCGCCCCATGAGCCTCAGTCCCAGATGGACACGCAGGCCCGACGCCAACCCAGGCCCCAGGGTTATAACTCCAGTGGGCAGGCGGTGACCTTCCACTCACGTTAGAGACCCCTGGGATTTGATGATTCCACCTGTGTGACGCCCCTCCCTCCAGCCAACCCACTGGGTCCACGGCCAACTGCTAACAGCAGACTCTTACAAGGAGCCAAGCACAGGCTCAAGCATCTCCCTTATGCTCACAGAGGCAGAGAGGGGTCAGGTGACTCACGGGAGGTTACACAGTGAGAGGTCTGGGAGCTAAACCCAGGCATTCAGGGGCCAGAGCCCACATTCACGTCGACTCTGCTATGTTGCCTTTCAAGGCAAAATCTAAGCCGGCTTCCTGCATCAAGATTAAGACTTCCTCACCTGCTCACGGAACTTCTGAAAGACATCACACCTTGAGATCTTGCTACGTAATGATGCTGCGCTATAAACCCTTCATATACTATCATTTGTCCCACCCATTTTTATAAACTGCCAACTATGTCCTGGACAGGGTCCTAGATGCTGAGAACACAGCATCTACTCCTACGCCAATCACAATTTAGCGGGAGACTCACGCTCACCAATGAATATACACCGTGAGACGGTGATGAAAGATATTTGTCTCTCTCGATTCCCCATCTTCGAGAAGTGCATATTGTTATAATCACGTTGTAGCTGTAGAAGCTGAGGCTGAGAGACATTGGTAACGATATAGAAAGTCACATTTAGCAAGTTAGAGCTTGGACTTGATTTTGGATTTAAATCCAGATCTCTCCAACTCGACCATCACA